TATAATCCCATTACTTAAGTAGACCTCTTTCAATATTAAAGGCAGATATTTGTACAAGTGAAGACTTTTGTGATCATTTTGCAGGGTCCAAGGGCACCTCAACTTTTGAAGTTCATTTTTTAGTGTTTGCTATATTTGTATTCTGTACACTAGTAGAACTTCTACATCACAGGGAATGTGGACATTATGACCCACCTTCAAAGGTTGCACGAAGCCCAATATACCAGCTCCTACTGCATTTCATTTTGTTTTTTCATGGTGCATTTCAACTTTGTGCACAGGTAACAATTGCTTTTTTGCTGGATACAAGCCAAAAAAAATGATCAAAATGAAAAATAAAAGTTTGGAATAGATACTGTATATACGAACTGTTGTGCATGCCAAAGGATTTCCTGGGCCTCTCTTTAGACTACTTCAGTTAAAGCCTATCTCTGGCCAAACAAAAAAAGTACCGTTGCAGTGGGACTGCAAGGGTTCAGTGCTCATTTTTGTCTAGGGGACTGGAGTAAAATAGATTTAGTTACCTGATCTCTGCTCCTGCTGGCTCCCTCCAGGCTGCTAGACTGGTCCCTGCAGCCTCTTCTCCCCTTCTCTCCAGTGGTCTAAGGACCACTGACATCATCACTTCTACTGCAGGTTCCATGGACCTGTTTTAGATGTGAGGATGCCAAGGGACATCCTCACAGGACAGCACTAGCTGCTGAGGGAGTGGGGTTCAGGTATGTAGAACTGCTTTATTCCAGCCCCTAGACAAAAATAAGCACTGAACTCTTAGTGGGGGTAGCCCCACTGCAAGGGTACTTTTTTGTTTCCCTGGAGATGGGATTTAGGCAGCCTAGTCTTATCCAGGACCCACCTTTAGACCATGCCTGGACAACCAAATAGTAGCTGCATACAGTATGGATGAGGTGTTCACTTTCCTTTACCCTCCAGTCAGCATGCTTACAGACAGCACAGCAATAAAACCCTGACTAGCTTAGCTTGCTGTGGAGTCTGATATCAGCATAGATTTAAGTACGTACATCAGTTCTATGGGGAAAAAAAAACTTTTTTTAATGATTATACAACTGTATTAAATGGTGTTTTTACATCTCTCTAGAAAATCCAACTTTAATGTCACCCCCACCCCCCTTCGCCAATTGTGAAGGCTGAAAAGGATGGAGGGGGGGTGGAGCTTATCTATGGCGGCAGCCGGACGTGTTCGTCCTTAGCTCCGCAATACAGGACCGGGCAACGCTTCTGAAGCGCCGCATCACCGCCTGTCATGGGCTCCAAGAGGGGTAAGAAAGCCCAGGGAACCAGACCGGATCGCACACGGACCCCGAGAGCCAGCATCGGCAGCTTCTTTGTCCTTGCCTCAATCAAGAGGGACCTACTCCGCTTCTTCCTGGCAGCGGCCCGAAACGTAGTGCCGCGACATTGGAACACTGTGGTCGCCCCGACCGTGCAGGATTGGATTGCGGAAGTGTGTCTGATCATGCGCTTTGAAGAACTGACGGCCTCTCTACATGAGCGTCAACCCCAATGCGCTACTTTGTGGACCCCTTGGATTTTGTACATGGACTCAGCAGCATTTAGGACCCTGTGATCGTACTAAGGACCTCCTGACTGACACTGCACTAGTGCACTGCCTCTGATATACCTAAGTGGGCCGTCCAGGGTGACGGATGTACTATTGGTTCCGGTGGAAGCCCCCCATCCCCTTTCTCCTCCCCATTAAGTACCCTCCCGTATCTGTTCTCCTACTTAGCCTGGCACCCCGCCTGGCAGGCGCCCCCCGCCCATATTGTGTTGTCCCTTGAGTCCCGTGTTACTATGTGTTTCTCCTCCTTTTTGTCCCCCTTTAGTGTTGTCTAGCCAGATGGGAGATCGCAGCTACCTTTATATCTCCTGGGTGAGATGCGCTCAGTAGCTATAGAAACTAGAAATTTACCCCCCTCTGTATGACTTGATCTACATATTTACCACTGTATGTGATGGATACTTGAACCGAACACATATATATGCATTGTTATATGTTTGTGTTTCATGCAGAGCTGTGACTGCATGACCTGAAACTGCGCTGATCCCTATGTCTGCCTGTCTTTTATGTTACCTGTACTAAACTCTTAATAAACATTTATTATTTAAAAAAGAAAAGGATGGAGGGGGCATATGGGTTAATATACCTACAGCAGGGGAGGCAATAAACTTGCAGACCCCCTGTTATACTTATTCTATTCCATATGCTTTTGAATATCAGACAGGAGCTTCAAGTGGAAGGGAAATAATGTTTCTTCCTAAAACAACAAGCTGCTGCTTTTGGACATTGGGCTCTTCAATAGATGGTACAGAAAAGGGATGGCATTTTAAATGCAGCATAACATGGTGGCAAGCCAGGGAGATAAGTATGATGTATTAGCTCACAGTTTTGGATAACCTCTGGTTACGAATCATCCTTTTTAGTCACAGATCTTAAATCTGGCTTATCTATTTGCTCCTCTTTCATTCTGAATATAGTTATGTTGACATGTCATGTTTTTAACTTTCAAGTAGAAAACTAAAATTATCAATGCCAATTATTGTGCTTAAATTACTGACACCAACTTCAAAAAGTTACATAGATAAAGATAATAATGTAGAAATAGGCTAACACATCTAGTTTAATTTCTTCCAACATCTGCAGTTTTAGTTCAGAAGATGACAAAACAAAAGCAACTTAGCAGCTGAGACCGGTACTGCCTTACGGGGAAAAACAAAATTCCTTTGCGAGCACACAAAGGCAGTTGGATCATTTCCCTGAATAAGAATATTGCAGTATTATCCTTTATAACTATGAATACCATTAGTGGTAGGAAAATAATCCAATAATTTTTAAATTCCATTATTGATTTTGCCATTACCATCTAATGGGTTAGGGCAGGCTATCTGTTCTCTACGCTAATATACAACAATGGCAAGTGTAGGGAATCCTAGTGCTCATAACTTGGAAATATATTTCCAGATCATAAATTAGGTTATCGAACTGTTGTTCCTTAAGAGGTAACACCGTACTGTACTTCACTGTCATCTACAGCATTATACAGTTGGTACCATTTTAAAATAATTTTCCTGGACACCTTGTTGCTGAGCTGGTTTATTCAAATTTCTCACATGTCGCCCTTCAACAAGCAATCCTAAGACATTTCAGCTAATATTATTAAATTATTCTAACATTCAGGAAATTAGAGAAATTTGTGGTACACAACCTTAAAATCCAAGAACCTTTCAAGCATGAATATTTCCAGGGACACATTCTTATTCTGCAACTATCCCTGGAGATCAGAGGAAGTTAGTACATTTCCAATGAGTACATGAGAACATTTTCTTGTAAGCCAATTATGTGCAGTGGAATACTAGCTGCTTGCAGCTTCATGGCTTAATAAAAGTCAAGTGGACAAATCGACCATGACTTCACCATCAGCATGCAACTATTTTATCTTCTATATATTCTGAAAAGTAGGAATGGCTGTGTGTATGCAGAGTATGATTGCATCTATGCTCTCCTGGAGCTCATTTTTGTGCATAGTGGTTTCCAATGCATTTCATATGTGGGTAGAAATTTCAGTGCCAGTAAATCATGTTTTTGTAAGTTATTTACTTTTACTTAAAAAAATGTTTTTAAATAGAAGACAGACATACTTTTACAGACATTAATATCTGATTATTCTCTATGCTCTTCTATCTTACTATGACTTCCAACTGTGAGAAGCTCTCAAATGACCGGCAGTGCTGGTTTTATCTTGAAGCCTGGCCTGCCAATCACAGTTCTTCTGTTGACAAATGAACTAAAGGATAACTAGTTCTCTGGATTATAGTGATGTGCTTACCCACCTTACCTGTGCTTGTACATGCCCCCAATCAAGAGATCAGTTACACAATGAAGGCACTGGCATGCTTCTGCCCTCTGTGCACCACCATTTGCAGCTTAACAGAATTAGCTGCCAGCCCCATTTGTATACTTAACATACCAGAACCCAAGATGTGTAGATGAGGATCTCTGGATTACAAACAAAGGGCTTCAATATATTACATCATTACACATGCATCAATCTGATACAGAGATCTTTTGAGCCTGAAGGTATCTTTATTGCTGCTTTGTTTTTTCCAGTTAAATAACCTAAAACATATGACAGGCATGAAAATATTCATATCTAAACTCCCACAGACAAATTATGTGTTGGTCCTCATGTACATAAACATTCACATTTGATTGTAATATCCTTTTGGAAAAGGCCAAATACAAAAAAAAAAGAGAAATACGTACTTAAATAATAAACTCATATTTCATCATTTTCATTTTATTTACTTTGTTTTCAGGTATTGTTTTGCAAATGGTGTACTAAAATTACTGGACCATAGCCATAAAGGAGTCAGTAAGACATCATATAACATAAATGTCACCAACACAAAATACAACAAAACCTGATACATCACCAACACTTTTGTAGTGTTCTTCATACCATCATAAGTCTAGGCTTAACCTGTCCTGTACCTTGTATGGCTTCATTCTTACCTTCACATGCCATGTAGCCCCATCATGTACATACTGTACCTTGTACCCCAAAAGCAAAAATCTTTTTATATACTGGCTGGTGTTATTTTTCCAAGAACTGTGACATCAGGCATATATATGAAGGCATAAAGCATGGCTATCCCTCTGCTTTCGTCTTACTCAAGTCTGATGCAAAATATCATGCTCACATTTCCTCTACCCATGGACATTTTAAGGTACCCTCTACATGTTTTATCTTTTGAGCTTTAGGACAATATAGAGCACACATTTGCAAGATGGTGGTCATACAGTGTATAATGTGCTGACAAGTTATAGACAATCCACTGTAAATATACATACTTTTATGCATTGCTTTGTCATCAAAACAGGGGTTATATAATATTTTTGTGTAGTACTATTTCAGGTGAGTGTATGTGTGTGTAATAACTGTATCTGGAGTTCTGTTATAGAAACAAAGTAAACTTACAGTAAGATCACTTCTAATGGCAAAGTTCTCCGGTTTGACATCACAAAGATGGAGCCGATGAGAAAATTCGGTATCAAACTGATGGACCATATGTAAGAAACTGATGGCAATATCAAGGAGAGCGTTCATCTTTTCCTCACCTGTTTTGCACTGACCAACCACTTCTTCTAAGGAGAAGATATTTTGATTCCAAGAGTGTCCAGCACTCAGAAATTCAACTGCGTAGAAGTGGCCACAGGTTCCAATGACCTGTAGGACATGTCTGCTAAAGTCTTGTAACAAGTTAAAGAGCAGGTACTCTTCTTGTTGAAATAAAGACCACATACTGGCGAGCTCCACTTTCCAGTTCTGCTGCTTCTTCCTTTCAGCCCAAATGGGCATTATAGTATTGTTCGGTAAGTCCAAACCCAGAGCATTTTTAATTTCCAAAGCTACCATCACAAGCAATTCAGTGTCTGATGGACTCTGAGGATCTGGCCCATTTGATAAGACAGGAGCCTGGAATTCAGAAAAGGCATCATTTTTTGACTTGAGAATGATTGAATTGCCTTGCCAGTCAGCATGTATAACCTTTTTTCCCCGGTGGTAATATAGACAATGTTTATAAACCAACTTCTTTGTCACACACAGGTCTTCACATAGGTCTCCAGTCACAGCTCCATCAGTGTAATCATAACACTGGAAAAAAATAGAGAAATTGTAAGTGTTAGTAGACATATGTAATTTCTATGTTATAAGAAAAATCACATCTTTAAAAAAGGATTGAGGGCCCTGTCACACCATCAAAAGTGCGTTGCAGTGTGTTCGGCCTCAGAAACAGACTGGAACGCAACCCAGCCGGCTCACTTTGGGGCGGGAGGGGGAGTTGCTGTGCATTAAACTCAATGTCACCGCAGCCACCACCCCCACCCGCGGTGCGATCACCGGCACCCAAATGCGTGGCACATTCTGGCACATTCCTGCATTCCGGTAAAGTGTGCACGCACTATTTTTTGGAAATTTGTACATTCGGATGCATACAAATTTCCAAATAACGAATGCTAAGGAACACGAATTTCCAATCATGAAAATGTCAGATGCATCCAAATTTCTTTCCTGAATGAAGTTTTATTGTGTTAAGCATCAACTTAAAAAAAAAAAAATCTAAATTTTTGTTTGTACGAATTTTCGTTCAGAATGAACTTTGGTTGCAGCAAAGTGACATTAAACAAAAGGAAATGTTCCTTTTTTCTAATGTCACTTTGCGGCAATGAAAGATTATTCGGAACAAAAATTTGTACATACTACCGCTAACAAACATGTGGATTTCGTCTGAATCAGAATCCCGAAACAAATTGACTTTTGGACCCGGATCCCAAAAAATGAAATAACGAAAAATCCAAATGAAAACGAAAAGAAACAAATTTGTTGCCGTGGCAAATGTGTAGCTTCTTCCTCTAAGATTTCTCTCAATTGTAAGCTCCAATACAACCTGCTGTCTAACAAAGGCTACCTCTGCTGTTATACAGCATTCTATGCCAAGCCTTCATTACTACAAAAAAAAACAGAACAGTCTGTATATCATTGTGGAAAGGAAAGTGGAGGTGTAGTCCAAAGCAACGGATATGAATAGCACAGATACTTTTCGAGTACCAGTGCAGATACTTGGCATTTTCATGAGAACCACCAGGGTTGCAGTGGTTGCAGCTGGGACCTGGCTCTGTCACTCCACCACTGTCCTGAAATCATTAATCTGTATTGTTTTAGAAAAATGACACGTCACATGACAATAAACAAAAATGTATCAGTACTCATACTTGTAAGTACTCGGCAAGTACCAGTACTCGTACTCGCAAAACTGGTATCTGTGCATCCCTTTATTTATATTTATAAAAACAAAAATTAAAACAGATGTACAAATCCCAAGAGCTCCGTCTGCTCCTTACAAATGACAGCTGCCTCCTAATTTTTGAATTTTTCTCTAGTCTAGTCTTGGAGCTCAAAAGTATCGGTACATGTACTCGTACTTGTACCGAGTACTGTACTTGGTATCTGTGCAACCCTAGATATGAATATTTATTTTGTAACCTGCTAGTGAATTCTACAATCTGAATGCTTGGAATCACAACCACTATTCCTCTCTCCAGTTTTGTTTTACATACCTTTGTCCCTCATTTTGTGAGCTGCCCTTTCTTGTGGTGCAAAATCCCTCGGTGCCTTCTTGATCTTCAGTTGTCCCTATTTTTGTTATTTATGTTCACACCATGATATCATTTATATAGCGCTGTCATATTTACAACAGGCAAAGCTTCAAAAATAGGCCAAACTGTTTAAAATAGCAATTCCAATTGCATAATACAAATTTCCATCATTCTAAAGACACCTTACATTTGTTAAAACTGTTGAAACAGTGGTACAGGAATAGCACAAAACTATTTATAATAATGAAATATGTATGAAATTACTACATCAGATAGGACGATGGCATAAAAAGCTGCACGATAATTAATGCAGACACTGAAAAAGTACTATGCTTTACAAAATATAGGGGCATATTTAGATGCACTAAATATGGCTTTCACCAAGCATTCACTGGTGATGAATCATTGACTCTCATTGAAAAACTGAATGTGTGTTGAATGTCAGGTTCACCTGCGGTGCAAGGCTGTTGAATTTCAGATTCTCTGCTTCATAAAAATGGCCGTTGTTCCCTGCTCATACTGGCAATCACACTGTAAGGTCACTTTAACTTTGAAACACAATATCTGCTTTAAAGTTGTCAATAGAGGTTACTGTCTTGACAACATTTAATTATAACAAATGCTTTCAGAATCAGATATAGTCTGGCAATTAGCTACAGTGAAATCATTTTGCATATTTCATTTCTACATCTTATACAATATTGAACACTAATGGCTAGGATCAATAAAGGCTGAAATAGCTTTAGCAAAATGTTCTACAGAATGCTTTATCTGCTTTCACTGCCCTTGATATGTTTTTTCATTGCAAGAATAGCAAATAAAGTCATCACCAGTAGTAATGCACCATGTTATATAGGTACAGATATTTGGAAAGTGTGGAAAGAAAGCACTGGACCCGTGTGCGGTTTCGGTAATCCAAAAGATCTCCACAGTATCCCAGGCTTGACAGTGAACACAGTAGATATACCAATTGAACCACCACACCAGTTAGAATAGTCCAGATACAACTTTATTCCATTAGGCAGCAAACCAGCGGCTAACAAGCCTGCAGTACTGCTTTCAAAACACAAATATAAAACTTTCAAGCTGCAGGGATAGTAGTCCACATAAATTACTTCTCTCATAAAGCCCTGATGAAGGGGGCGTGTTTTGAACACCCGAAATGTGTTGGCAACTCTACTTGAACGTCCTCCTGGCCCTAATGGAATAAAGTTGTATCTGGATTGTTTTTTGTTTTTCTTGTTTAATACTTTTTCTTGATTAAATACAATGCACATTGTAGTGCACATTGTAGTCATCAGTAAGAACAAATTAGGTTACATGCTAGTAAACTAAGAGAGTCCAACAGCAGGCATACAATCACTTATCCATACAGTGTGACCGTGTATAATATCAGTACACATGTATTAAAGCAAAATAACATAACATAAAAACAACAGGACACTTAGGTAGGTAAGGAAAAGGGCAGAGGGGATGGGGTAGGCGCTCCACACAAGGGGCAAAATACTGTGCATCATACAGAATAACCTTTAAAGCAAACACCCACCCCCTCCCCTTTTTCACACACACACTCACAGACCTGTTATTTAACTAAAGCAGTAATAAAATGTCCTTTGGTAAACTAGCAACATATTTATATTTATTTGCCTTTTAGTTGTATGGCAATCTAGCTCCCATGGCCTGGTCCCTATGCTGGTCAAGCCTTTGGCACAATTTTTTCCTTTTACGGTGGCCAGCTTCTTCTTCCTGCTTATCTGGGCTGACTTACCAATGGTGTCCATGTCAGATCTCATGCATGTGCCTCATAAGAAAAAAAAAAAAACCAAAGCAAACTCCCATGATCTCACATTCCAGGTGCAGAAACTGGTTAGTAGGCACTGGTGATGTAGCGTACCCAGATGGCAGATGGGAGCCACTGGTTATGTCTCCAGTGCCTAGGAAGAGGCAGAAGGGCATCAAATGTAATTGTGAGTTTACTTAGAAAACTGGACTTTGAAATGACAGAGTACAGTGGTCATTGTTGAGCATGTAGAGCTGGCTGCATGCAACTGTACTTTTTATTATTGTGGGGGAAAAAGGTGAGCTTTAAAGAGTATTTCCAACTTTGCAGCTAAAATGTAAGAAACCCTAACTATATGTTTATCTGTTCCTATTCGCACAACATACCTAAAAATAATTTTTAGTTGCTTCTTTGGAGCAGGATTACACACAGGACACTATACACTATAGGCAGCTTCTATTGCTTAGAATAGATGGCAATATGCAGATAAGGGAGAGGCTTAGAGACATTTTTTAAAATGTCATTAGTATGCAATACATGTGATATATATATATATATATATAAAATGTATTTAAACATTAGTATTTAGGTATTTAACCCTTTGTTAGGACAGACAATCCTGCACAGGTGGTAATCAAGTTCTGCCAGCACTGTCCAAACAGGGTTAAGTATGGTAAACTAACTCCCCAGATCCTTCCTTAACAAGATATAGAACAGGAAAGCTTCAGATTTGGAGTTTTCAGAAAAGAGCATGTAAAAAGGTAAACAAAGTATTAAAATATTTTAACTTGATGCTATGTGAATGGAAACATGCAACAAGTATAAAATATGTGGTATTCCGATTTGCCTGCATACTTGAAAATATATTTTAGGATACAATAGCTAATGAACACACTGTAACAGTACTTCTATTCAGGCGAGGAGAGAGAAAGTCAATTATTCCTGAGCCAAGCCCATAGCCTTGGGGCTATAGGCCTGATGGTTGCTTCTATCTATGCATACCATGTTGCTGCAAGGCATTACATAGACCCCACAGTATGACTTTTCCATAAGGTAGAGAATACTCTGCCCTGAACTTTTCTCTACATTTCCATTTAAGATCACCTGACCTTTAAGCTAGCCTTTCACAAAAGTTCACTGACTAATAATGCCTGTAGCTGATCATCATCTGATCCATCTGATTTGGGTATAACAGAGTGACAGCTTAACTTAAGATGTAAGCACATACTAAATCAATCCATCTCAGGATACATTTTACTGGCTTAGATCATTTTAAACAATCTCTTGAGCTATCTGGGTTATTGGTTAGATAGGTGAAGATAATGTTGGCTCAGTGCGTTCACATGAAAACTTGAAAGATAAAAGCAAGCATATTTTCACACAGAAAAACCAATAGTCATTCTGGTACAGCCACAATTAGACCTAAAGCTGATGACTATGGCTTAACGTATCTGAGATAAGTTTAACCAGAAATTAGAGAGAATGTAACATTAGAATTATGCTACCTGCGCAGATAATACCTCCAATGTTCCTATCTGTTCAGGACCTTATTAGAATGTCTCAGCACCCTTCTTCACAAACTAATTGATTAAAGGAGAACAATTGGGAGAGTAAAATATACTCTTCCCAATATTTTGAGCCAGAATGTGACATTGCAGCTGTCACACACCAGCTCTATAGCTTGAGACCCGAGGGATCACAAACCGCTGATCAGTTAG